GCTTAAATATGATACTTTATTTGTACAAGTTCAACATAATAAAAGAGATTCAGCTTTATAATTTTCACAGCATTAGAGATAATATTTTGGTAGAAAATATGAACAGTTCATAGCAATATGCATCACTTATGCAAAAGAGGACCTACATTTATAACCTGCTATCTTAGGAAAAAAATTAAAAGAGGGGAAAAGAACACATTTTCCATAATAAAAAGATCATTATGCAAAACAACTTGCAAGCAATTGAAATACTATTTCCCTACAAAGTTCCATAACATCTCATTTTTATATGTGCCATGTCCTGTACTAATCATACGCCAAGGGTAACATTATCCTTACTTCACAGGCAGCAAAACCGCTTCAGAGAAGTTATCTAACTTCCACTTGCCCAGGCTCCCATTCTGGTGGGGGCAGAACAGTGCTCTTAAATATTGTGTTATTTCATGGAACCATTTGAGTACATCCATTAAAACTGTCACTTGACAAAACACACACCCACAATTTGTTTTCCCATTATGTTATTTCCTAAAACATTATGTTCCCAAGTTTGTTGCCTAAATGTTAATTACTCTTTTTGCCGATGGAACAGCAATCCCATATTTTACTATCATCAGTACAATTTGAACACACAGGGTGCTGTTCGTTTCCATGACAGTGACAAAGAAAATAGTGATTTACCTACAGGCATTCGAGCACATCGAATGGCTAGCCTGCAATCTCAGCCGGGGATTTTACGACACAAGATTTGAAGGAGCTCTGCAAAGTGATGTTTCCTTTCCTGCCCAGAAGCAAATGAGTGCATGAAGCGGTCTGATCCTGAACAGCGGATCTGTCAAGTCCCCACTGACCTCCCTGGGAGAAAAGCCTCCCAGACAGCGGGGGAGAATGCTTGGCACTCTGCAGCTGGACAAATTAGTGTCAATCTATTCGGCCACAGGGTTTGCCTGTGATCTTTCACACCCAACTGTCAATACTTGAGTTGCAAAGGACATTGCTAATCATTTTATACTTTAAATATGTTTTCATTGATTTATTTTAGAGAGAGATAGAAACACTGATGTGAGAGAGAAACATGGATGGGCTGCCTCCTGCACGCCCCCTCTGCTGGGGATAGGGCCCACAACCCAGGCATATGCCCTGACCTGGAATCCAACCGAGACCTCTCAGTCCATGGGAGGATGCTCAGTCCACAGAATCACACTGGGTGGGCAATGTAGTTTTTTTAAAATATGTTTTTATTGAGCTCTTTATATTTTAAATATCAGATATGGTTGATTACTGCCAAATTTAAAACTGATATACAACATTCTTTTTGTTTTGCTTTGTTAATCCTCACTGAGGATATTTCTCCATTGATTTTTCGATAGAATGGAAAAGAGGGAGTGGGGAGGAAGGGGAGAGGTACGGAGGGGGAGGAAAAGAGAGAGAGAGAAAGTGAGAGAGAGAAACATAGGTAGGTTGCCCCCTGCATGAGCCTGACCAGGGCCGGGAATCAAACCTGCAACCCTTCAGTCTGAGGGCCAACACTAACCATTGAGGCAAACTGGCCAGGGCTACAACTATTTTTTTTTAAAGGAGCCCCTAATTAAAATTACTCAGTGATTGACTTCTCCAGTATTTATGGAGCACTTACGACATGCTAAGCACTTTGCTGAGCACTGAGAACGGTAAATAAACCAAAACAGACAGACTCGGCCCTGCTGTCACCGACACCGTGACCCCTAGTTCTGCTTCCTCCTGGAAACAGGTAGTGCAGATACCTTTGAGGTGTTCATGACTTTGGGGTTACCCTCTTGACACCTTCAAAATAAAACTAAATGCTACTGTCTTAATACATGATGCAGTACATCGAATACCTTTGGCATTTCACTTTTTATCCCTTGAGATTACCATTAACATGCTATACTTAAAACACTTAGAGAACATGTTTATCTAAGACTTGGAGAAAAATGATGAAGCAGAAGCAGCAATGCCACCACATTCTGCAGGAGGAATCACACGTCAGGTCAAGCACGGCTAGCCACGCCTTTGCCTCAGCGTTACAGGTCCCACCGCTGATTCCCTTCCGGAGTCAGGAAAACCGCGTCCCGGGTATGACCCGCGGTGCTGACAAAGGCCTGACCGTCCACAGGGGTGTGGAAATGCTTCCAGTGAGGCTTTTGCACAGGTGCGAACTGCAACCAGTTCTGGGACCACCTGGATGGCTGTTCCCTGGGACCATGTGGGACAGATCTCGCTGAGCTTCTTTCAACACATCTCCGCATTGGTGCCCTCATTTCTTCTTAACAAACTCTCATCCCAGGCCTCTGCCTGCACCCCAAGCCTCCCCACCCTTCCGAGCATGCCTATGCACAACTGCTCATACACATCTTACCTCTTTTAAGAGGCTGATGAAGCTGCCCCTCTTACCCGTGAAGGCAAACCCCCAGACCTGGCCCCGCTTTGCACACCTGGCCTCAGACTGCCTTCCCAGTTGTAACTCTCGGCGGCATTTCTTTCCGGGTGCCTTCGAAGTACGGTGCCACCATTAAAACCGAATTAGATGGCTTCATACACACTATTACGGAACAGTTGCTAAGATATATATAAGTGAGAAAAGCAAAGTATAGAGTAGTGTGAACAGTACGCTGTGACTCGCGTTGAGCAGCACAGCTGTGTGCACACACACCCCTCAGGTATGGCAGAATACCTCTGCACGAGCACACAGGAAACTGGAACCGGTGGCCATCCCTAGGGGGGTGAACCGGGTATGAGGCTAGGTGATACACGTTTCACTATCTGTAAATTTTACTTTATGTGCCTATGTTGACTCAAACAAGAAATACTTAAAAAATTATAATCTCGTGTTCATGTTCAATGTTCCTCCTTCATCCCCCAAATATGCCTAAAGCTTACCTGCAATAACCTTCTGCTTCAAGTTCTCCCTCCTCACTCAGTTACTCACCTCTATCTAACTAAATGCCACTTACATTATGAATGTTTCCCCAAACGTCACAATATTTTCATAGCAAACAATCTACCTTACTTTCATACCTGTTCTGTTGTTACCTGCATGCATTTTATTTCCCTTATTATTAATAAGTTTTTGGAAAGCTGGACTGTCTTAGTCATAATTTTTCACAACACAATATAACTTGGATAAATAAACCAAAATCAATACATATGTGGGGTGGAGAATAGATTCAACTGATGCTGTAAGGGGCAGAGTCAGTTTTGTTTAGTGGTGTGTTCCAAGTGCCTGGCAGGGGGCCTAGTGTATGAATACAAAGGAAAGTCTTTAAACAGCAGGCTGGCTTTTTTTTTTGGGGGGGGGGGGGCAGATTCAAGTTTGGTTGACAAAAAAGTACTTCTCCAATAATTAAAGGCATAAGCAACTTTCACAGTTGCAAAATCACGTCATATTCCTTAGGCAAGAACTTTGCTCTAAGAGTTCACAAGAAAGGGCAAGACATCACAGGGACGGTTTGAGGACAAATAATGAAGAGATAATTCCAATTTAAACATCAAAGTCACCCTGGTCCATTTGGTTCAGCGGTTACAGTGTCAGCCCTCGGTCTCGAGTTTGATTCCCCGATCAAGGGCACGTATCTGGGTTGCAGATTTGATCCCTGGCCCTGGTCTGGGTCAAGCAGGAGGCAACCAATTGATGTGTCTCTCTCACACAGATGTTTCTCTCTCTTTCTCTCTCCCTCCCTTCCACTCTATCTAAAAATTAATGGAAAAATATCCTTGGGTGGGGATTAAATAAAAATTTTTAAAAATCAGAAGTCAACTTGTTCTTACACAGAATTCCTGTTCTACACCTGACTTCTGAACATCTGCCTCCTCCTCATCCCTCTACACACTTGGCCTGGCGGCTTCACCAACACCCCAAATCACCAGGTTTCCTCTGCTCTGCTCTTTGTGTCACAATGACTATTTCAAGCACCTGTAATACCACCTCTCCTGTTCTGTCTTCCACCTTGGATTACAAATCATCATCTTTTCTTTAAAATATCTACAGGCCATCTCATCTACATATTTCTTCATTAACGTCATTTTACATTGTGCACCTAACAAGTTTTCCCACTTCCCCAAATATAAATTCCAGTGATCATAGCTCGGAAAAAAGTCTACCTAGGAATTTACATTTCAGCCCAGAAGTTAGAACATTAAAAAACAAACAACAACAATAAAACAACTTTCCTATTAGCAATGGTTATTTTGTGTTGTTCAAGAGTGTTCACAACTTCTTTTTTAAAAAAGAAGCAAAATAAATATTAATTTTAAAATAAATTTAGCCGGAAGCTAAAGTGGAATATTAAATGCATAAGATACAAAATACCCGGACAGATATGAACAAGCCGCAGTCGCTCAGTAGCCTCTTGCCATGACGCTTTTGCGAAGCAGCTTTTTGGTCTCACAATAGGAAGCAATCCTCTTCAGCTGTCACAGACATGACGCTGGAATACTACAAGACGATTAAGTGGCTAAACAATTTTTTTTTTTTAAGAAAAGATTATTTTTTATTTATTATTTATTTATTTTTTATCCTCACCTGAGGACATTTTTGCATTCATCTTCAGATAGAGCAGGAGGGAGAGAGGGGGGTAAGAGAGAGAGAGAAACATCGATGTGAGAGAGACACTTCGACTGGTTGCCACCCACACAACCTCAACCGGGGCCGGGAACAAACTGTAACCGAGGTACGTGCCCCCAGTGAGAACCGAACCCGGGACTCTCTGGTCCATGGGTTGACACTTTAACCACTGAGCCACACTGACCAGGGCTAGAAATGATTATTTTAGCCTGGACAGTGTGGCTCAGTGGTTGAACACTGACCCATGAACCAAGAGTTGCCGGTTTGATTCCTGGTCAAGGACACATGCCCAGGTTGTGGGCCAAATCCCCAGTGGGGGGCATGCAGGATGTTTTCTCAGCCAATTGATGTTCTCTGTCATCGATGTTTCTCTCTCTCTCTAAAATCAATAAAGAAAAAAAGAAAAGATGATTTTACTTACATCAAGAGAGCCTTCGTTGATAACAATCATTCCCATGTTCTTCCTTAGAAGTTTGCAGGAGTGTCCTATGTCCAAACATAAAATTAATTGATATAATTAAATTCCTTAGAGAGAAGAGCTGTTAAAGTAATGCTGTAAAATATCTACATTTAATTTTTAAAAATACTTTCTTAGATGAAATTAAAATGTTATCTATTTGATCAGGAAGATGCCCGTCAGGTCTTTTGCAGGTGTGCAGGAAGCGAAGAGTGCTCTTGCTCACTGCAGGAGGGACCTGCTACAAGGACAGGCGTGTCACGGCTGTCTTGATAAGCAAGTGTGGCACAACAGGTGATGGTTTTCCATGTCCTGAAAACTGACAAACGTGTACGGAATATCCTCCGTGATGACCAACGTGAAGAGCAGATGGGCTGACAGCTGTCTGGGGAAGGGTGCGGGAGGGCTGTCTGGCTGTCTCTGGACCACTGATCCCACCGATCCTCTAAGCTCCTGCCTTCTCTCACTCTGCCACACTTGCTGCAGGGCCAAACCGCTGCGCAGTTCGCCGACCCTGCTCACTCCAGATCTGTTTGCCTACAGTTCGGTGTGGTTGGAGAAAAACAGGCAACCCTGCTGACCGGCCTCACATTTCAACGGTTGCCATCCCATCTGAAACAATACCATCTATGCTCACTGCCTCGATGATCTCATGCCTTCCCGTGGCTTTACATACCATCCATATGTGGACGAGTCTGAAACTCATGTCTCCTGCTAAGATCTCCTTCCTGAACTCCAGACTCTCCCACCTCCCGGTGCCTCATTTTGGTTAATGGCAACTCTGCCCTCCAGTTGCTACAGCTAAAAATCCTTGGAGCTACCCGATTCCTTTTCTTGTCTCATACTCTACCGTTAATCTCTCAGTCAATCCTATGGGCTCCACTTTTACAATATATCCAGAATCCGACCACTTCTCTCCACCTCCACTGTTACCACCTGGTCCAAGCCACCATCCTGTTTCACCCGGATTAATACAGCAGCTTCCCCGCTGGTCTCCCTGCTTCCACACCTGCGTTCCTTTGAGTCCGTCCTAGTCCAGCCGCAGACCGACTGTTTTCACAGGAAGTCAGATCAGGTCTTCCCTCTGCTCAGAACTGTCCCCCGGTTTCCCGTTCTCTCCGAGTAAACACCGCAGCCTTGGGGGCCCCATCCAACCTCGCTCTGTTACACTGCTGACCTCTTCTCCTACCCCTCCCCGTGGCGTTTCTGTTCTTTCTGTCTAGAACAAAAGACAGCTTCCCCTAATCATCCAAGTGACACGCTCCCTGTCCCTTCTTAGGTCACTCCTCAAATGTCACCTTTTCAGAGGTCACCTGACCCCAAGATGGACAACTCCACCCCTCTGTGCAATACCTATCTCCCTTTGCTGCTTTATCTTCTTTACAGCAATTATTGCATCTAATACACTAGGTGGTTTTCCCATTTACGTCACTGTCTGTTTCCCTGACTAGGGTTTGAGCTCCAGGAGGGCAGAGGTTTTGGTTGGCTCCTTGCTCTTAGCTGGCTCCTGGCTCTGCGGGCACCACAACCGTTTGCTAAATGACTACATCTTCCCTACCTTTTCTAGGAACAAGATTTCAAGTGTTAAATGTGATCAGAAACCACCACCACACTCTTCTTCTCCTAGGACCTTTCATTTGGCTACGTGTCCTGAGCTATTTTTTCAGGATTTCTCCTTTTCTTCACACACCACTCGTTACCACCGGAGAGTCTCCCTCTGCGTTTTACGGTATTTGTGCTTTTCAGCGAAATCCTCACCTGCTCTGCATTCTCGTCTGTCTTCTTTCCATTCTGTCTCTAATACCAGCGATAGTATGTATAGTCAAAATGGACCTGTGTGGCCTATAGGTTTAAACTTCTAGCTAGTGTTCTCTACATTTTAATTTTCCTCTATTAACATCAATTTACGATGCATCTGTGGTACTTTTATATGCACTGAATTGCTGTGGTTACTAACAGTTCCAAACAAAATACTAGCTAAATGTTTTTAGACAGATGATACTTCATCGTGACTTTCTGAAAATGTGGTTTCATGCTGCGAACATCTCTGAAATGTTTTTTTTTTTTAAACTTTGGGAGCATTTTGTAGGTAATCCGTATCATTAATATCCACAGGTTGAATCTATGTCAGGGTTTATAGTGCTCAGGAAACCTACCATTATTGAATTAGAAAAAATGAAGTGGCATTTTCTTGCATATTATTGGTACTACAGGCCTCTCACACCAAACACTAACTTTCTGCTCGGTAAGATCTTGTTATAGACTGAAAGGCGCCCCCCGCCCCCCCATTCACACACTTAAGCCCTAAAACACAATGTGACTGCCTTTGGAGGCAGGGACTTAAAAATGTTTTTCAAGTTGAATGAATCATACGGGTGGGGTCTTATCCAGCAGGACTGGCCCTCACGGGAAGAGGAAGCGAGGGCCAGCGTCGCTGTGCACAGAGGGGAGGCCGTGTGAGGACACGGCGAGGGGGTGGCCGTCTGCGAGCGAGGAAAAGAGGCCTCCGGAGAAACCAAACCTGCTGACGCTGATCTGGCACCCCAGCCTCCAGAGCTGTGAGAACATTTATTTCTGTTGCTTAAAGCGCCCAACTTGTGGCATCCTGTTACTGCAGGCCGCCTGAGCTAAAACCTCTTTCCCAAAAAATGGAGTTGACTGTGCGATGAACGAACTGGCAACCTTTCCTACCTAGCTCAGAAATAACCTTTGGTCAAATGAACAAGCGTCAATGCACAGCGTGCGCGGACCCCCGTTTCTAGACTTTCGCAGCGAACTGCAAAAATGTCACCTGCACGTGCTTACTCGGGAAGGTGGGAGGCAGCGGTCAAGGGGAGGGCGGGCGGCACGTGGCTGCAGGAGCTATGGTTGGGCTGATACAGAATCACTGCAATTTTAAAGCCACTGAGGCCGCAAGTAGATAGAAAAGCCCAATAACATAAATTTGGAAATCTTAACAAAAAAACACCTTTCAAATCTTGAAATACCCTCAACTTATCTTCCATAATGTATCAAGCTGTTTAAAAGCACCACAATGTAAAGTTTGAATCAAGTGAATTACCAATGTTAATGGCAGTTTCTTGCTTGTCCCCTGTAAGAATCCAGATTTTGATGTCTGCTTTCATGAGCATTTCTATGGTTTCAGGCACTTGGTCTTGCAATTTATCCTCAATGGCTGTAGCTCCCAGTAGCTGCAGATTCTGGGGAAAGAAGTGGTACATACTTTAAGAAGAAAACCGGTTTTGATTCTCAAAGAACAAAAAACTGAAGCGTGTCTATGCTTTTAAAACAAAGATTAATGGTAATTCATGGACTCTGGTATAAATTTCAACTAGGCCACTGTGTTTTCTTTCTCAAGGATCCCTGACTTTCATCTGGTGTTTCTGACTGAGGTGGGGCCGCCTGGCCTACCTTACTCCTAAGGTAAGAAACTGATTCTGAAAACAACGGCAACAATAACAAAACATGATGGAAGGGGCAAATCAAGTCAGTTTCAAAAAAGCAGGCAGCTACTAAAAACAACCCAAAACTACTGAAGGATCACCCGAGTGAAGAAGCAATCCTGCACACCTGTTAGAAAAAGAATAAGGAAATATGCCGATACCATTAAATGATCATTTGGTGCTGTGTCAGGAAACATATACACGTGATACAATGAGAAATGATAAAGGAGAGGACAATAAACAATGTGATAGCGTTCATCTCTGTAACAAAAAAGACCAGGTTGAATGTTTTTTAAAATTGTTTCACATTTGTACGGTAGAAGGTCAGAGTCCACGAAAGATCCCTTGCTCATTAGATGGTACCTTTCATACAAGACTGAACATAGCCAATACCCTCTGCAGAAAGGTGTTCTACTCTGTCACAAAGGAGAAAGATTTCTGCTCTCATTTCCCTAAATGGAGAAAAGGAGAACCACCTTTTGGCTGTTAGGGAAACCTGGCTGGCCAGATGAACACAGGTAATGGTGTTCTTGTTCCTAAATGCACAGGAACTCATAGTGATCGGCTAAGATTTACAACTTTCTTTCCGTCCTGTGACCAGGCACTGCCGCTAGCGAGCCGGGGTGCCCAGCCAGCTGGTGGCAGAGCCGCAGCCCTTCCCTACCTTCCCTGTCATCTAACCTCCAGTGTCACTCACCCCGACATTTATCTTCCTTCTCAACCCTTTTCTCCATTCTGGCTTTCATTTTTTAAGATATAAGACAAGGACAGAGTAGAGTCGAGGGAAATCAAGTGCTAAGGGCAAAGAAAGCATTCCATTTCCTATTTTTCTCTAACATTAAGCTCTGTTTGCTTATCACCAGCATGGCAGTCCCGAGTCTTGGTAGGCATGGAAAGTAAAACTGAATGGACATACAAACAAGTAAGAGTGAGCGTGTATGTGCAGCTGATGAGTATATTAATTAGGATTGCTTTTGGCTACAAATAGAAAAATGTGACTTACAATGACTTTAATAAAGGTGTAGTTTTCCTATGTAAGTGGCACTGAGGTGGGTAGTCATGGGTATTAGGTTGGTGGCTCAGCCATATCTCAACTCATTCTCTAGATCTCTCTCAAGGTCTCAAGGTGGCTGTCACAGCTGGAATGAACACAGTCACTAAGAAGACAAGAAGGGAGTACCAACTGTACAGGCCTCTTATTTGAAAAGCAAAAATGTTTTTCCTCCTCCGGACCGCAGGCCGACGCTCTAACCGCTGAGCCAAACCGGCCAGGGCAAAAAATGTTTCTAAAGGTACTCAGCATATTTCCAAATATGGTCAACACTAATTGTTAGTACTTTGCTTTTCCAGTGGAGGTGACAGGGAGGAGGGGACGGGAACTGTATAAAACCAGCCAGCCCACAGTCTTTGCCACATGCCTAAATACAGAGGGGCAAGCGTCCGTAGTGGTGTCCGAGTCTCCCATCACCTTGTCTGGAGAAACCTGGCTCTTCCCTGAGGGACAAACTCAAGAGTCCCTGCTTCTTGGATCCTTTCCTTTGTCTTAACACGAGCGTTCCCCTCCGCTGTGCTCTCAGAGAACTTTTCTTTAGGCGTCTTAATTTAGCACATTAAGATGAGCTGTTTACATGCATGACTCTGTGTGGCAGCAGTTTTGTTCAAGACCAGGAACCATGTCCTGGCATCTTTATACCAGGATGTTTACTGAGCGAGTGAGGCAAAGAGGAAAACCCCAACTCCAAAAGTTATGAAGTAGTACTGTACTCTAGACCATTGTCTTTTCAATATATTCTGAATACAGCTATTAGAAGCACTTGATGCATGACTTCCTAGTACATAAAATAAAAGGCAGGAAGGCAGATTTCCTTCTTGAAGGAGACAGGATCATTTTATCTTCAATGGAAAGTAAATTTGAAATCTATCACAACCTGAAGAATAATTATCTTCTAGAAGGAAGAGGAAGGACAGTTGAGCATCCCCGATACCAACATCACAATGGCAGCCCTTCAATGTTCAGACAACGCTTCTATCAATTCTCTCGTCCGCTTTTAGGGCATCTGAACCTAAGTCACTCTGGCCCACACCCCAGGGAAGGTCAGGAGGTAGCCGTGTTCAAATGCTGTATATTCTACAGAGACATGATAAGGTTTTCAGACGATCATGGGGACAGTTTGGTAATACAAGCTCTCAAAATTTTCTAAGCCAAAGAAACTATTTTTGTTCTATGTTTCACAGGCAGACAATGGAGATAATGTGAGAACCAAGATGTGAACACACACGTCAGAAATATACACAGTATGTCTGTGTATTTCTGGCCCTGCGCTGAGAGGATCAATGAGCTCAGGAAGTACACAGGCTCACATCTAATACAAATAAAAGGCGCTGAGGAGACAACATGGAAAACGTATTTGAAAGAAGGAGAGCATCTGGTTTTGCACAGGTGGAAAGAGAACATTTTTCAAACCAGGTAAAGATAACATAAAGGACCAGGGAGGTTGGCCCAGCAAAGTATATGCCGATCAAAGGTACAGGGAAGGGTCACTGAAGTGTGTTGGTGGCGGTAACAGAATTTTTAGAGGGTAATGAACTATTTCTGAACATGCAGCCCAACTGCAGTGGGCCCGCTTTGATGCCTACAGGAAATACCGTGTCCAGCGCCGGTAAGGTTTCCCTTCATCCCAAGAGCTCTCTCGACACTTACGGGTGTCAGTGGAAGTCTCTCCAGCTCCCTCCCTGGGCCCCGCCTCCCTTTACTGTGAGATTAGGATCTTGAGGGAGAGGCTGCTCTGCCTCTGGAAATTAATATCTTTAGCTATATAATGATCACTAGGAAAATAGATGTGAACTTTGCATGCTTTTCCTGATCATAACACCAGCGTGTTTAGGCTGTAATCAATTTCATCCCAAACATGTATTACCTTACACAGATGGCCACTAATGGGCGCTCTGGGAATTACATATTCGGCAAGTGTTGAAACGTGATAAAATTCCCATGGCATTCATGGAATTAAAAACAAAACACAACACCCAAACACTAATTTTACTTTCAAAATGTCACTCTGCCAAAAGTTATTAAAGTTTCAGGTTAATGACTCCTTGACATACTATAGATCTAGTTATCACTGAAAAATCATGAAATAATATTTAGTCACCTAGTAAAGCCCTCAATAATCTTATTTTCTCCTTCACATGGTCGTAATATATGCAGCGTTCTAAAAAACACATATAAATGTAAAATTTCTACCCTAGTGAGTATAAAACGCTTCACCCAGAGAACTTAAAAGCTATATGGTAAAGTGTATTATGACAGATTTAGATAGTATGCTTTTTCCCAACATGTGTATTTTGCTAAATAACAGAACCTCAAAATGACCTATTACCATATTAGCAAATATTTTGTTAGTACTTTTGGACTCATATCAACTTCGGCTTCAGATTTCAACATAGACTATTTGGCAGAAGAAGAAATAATATTGATAAGCAAAGTTTTACCATTGTAGTAAATACAGCTAAAATACTACTAATATATGGTAACCTTTTTTTTTTTTTTTCACCGTGAAATGAGATTGTGACTCGGACTACAACAAAACATTTCCTCAGTAGAGGAACTGGACCAGACACTAAGTGCTTCACATTTATTAATTCAGCTAACAGCTTGGGGACGTTTGCGTGATTCTCGAAGGTCGGAGGTGCAGCTGAGCTATAATGGTAACAGTGAAATCCCCAGAACCCATACCCAGCGGAAGGCAGTGAGTGGAAAGTGAAACTGAGATTAGATGAAAGTCAGAATTTTATTCAAATCATCAGGTTTTCAGATAGCCTCTGCTCTTCAGTCCCTAGCAATACTTTCCTGCTGTGGATGGGTTTCAGCCTCAGTCCTGAGCCAGTCCTGAGTCCTATGGATGGGATAGGACAGCCCTCCTCCCCCACCGTTTTCTGATTGTATTCCCTTATTCCCTCGCCTTTGACTGGTACCTGTGTCTCTTAGACCCTGCCTGCTTGGCTGTCATCAAGCCCATGCCATTAGCCACAGAGCCGAATCCAGGCTGGGGGTTTTCTGAATCACCCAAAGGGCTATTACACCCCGATCGCTGGGCTCTACCCCCAGGTCTCAGGGAGCAGGTCTGCGGTGAGGCCGCCAGGTGCGCAGGGTGGCGATGCTGCTGGTTTGAGGACCGAACCGTGAGCACCGGGCTCTAGAACAACACTGACAATTTTTTTTTTTTTTCTGTAAAGGGACAAATGGTAAACATTTTATGGTTTGAGGGCTGGACTTTCTCTTCTGTAACAACTCAACTCTGTCATTAGGCATGAAAATAGCCCAAGACAATTTGTACACCACTGGGCAGAGCCGTGTTCCAGTAAAACGTTATTTACAGAGCGAGGCAGCGGGTGGACCGGGCCCTCGTGGAGTCTGCAGACCCCAATACAGAACACTCGTGAGGAGCCTGCTCGGCACCGGGCTCCATCCTGGCCGATGCTGTGGACACGTCCTGTCTGGGCTCCCTCCCATCCTGGCCCTGGATCTTCTGGTCCCAGTTCTTTCATGTGCTGGAAATCCTAAATTACAGCCCAAGCCTTCTTCACTGTAATACAGGATTAGCACCAGAAAGGAACCATGTTCCTCCCCAAATAATCCCATCACTGTGTCACACACTATCTTCAAAGTAAACACAAGTTTTCTGTTTGTACAAAGGATAAACACAGACAAGAGGCATCTTCTTAGTCTAGGTGGCTCAAAAACCTACCCAACGCGA